TATTTCAAAAAAAAAAATTCTAAACATAGTTGGAGAAAAAATTGTGGGTGCATGTACGCACACTTGGCCAAAAACAGTTAATAATATTACAAAGAAAATTAATTTTTTTAAGTGGAAATTTTCAAAGCAGTCTGGGTGCAAATGCACTTTACACTTTTTACACAGATAAATACTGTTACTTTTGCAAAATCGACACTTTTTCCTTGCATTATTAACCTCCCCAATTATGATATGTCCGATGTTGTGAAATCTCATATCAGCTGGAAGAGCAGATTTAGAGGGTCTTCCATTGTTTGAATTGGATACTGTAGTATTTGAAGTAACATCTATATCGTTTCCGTCATGCTTTAGCAAGGAGAGTGCTAAGTTCGAGCGAAATTCTACTTATGACATTTTGAATTAATTCGCTATATTATAGATTTTTCAAATGCTTACCACCATGCTGCCTATCAGATTAGTAAACAAAGGCCACCACCATTTTTGCCTGTTATTCCGATGCGATAGTTGGAGATACCGTTATCATCGAGGTCTACCCCACCCATATATTTATTATATTGCTGGATTACATTTGGCTGAGGAATAAGTACTTCCTTGCGCTCCTTCCGGTTATAGCGTTTTGTCTGCATGAGTGGTAAAATATTACATGCATTTGTCATTACCGTGACTACAGAATTGTCATTCCATCTTGTTACCAGATCTCCCAAGTTTTGATCAAATGCAGAAGTATAAGAGCCTATTGCCTTTTTTGTCATGGCTTTTTTATCTTCAAATGGGCATTTACCGGTTCGATTATCTCTCACTGTTCAGGTTGCAAAAAAGCTATTTTTTTTTCAAACTTTCAAAAAGGACGTGAAAAAGTTATTGAAAAATATTTTATGCTGTTGTGGATTTTCTACCACAGACAATAGTTCTAAAACAACTCTTGTTCCTAATGGTTATACCGTTATACCGTTTTCGGCCAAGGGTCTGTATACGCATCCATTACAAATATATGTCAATATGACAGTCGATTTGTAAATATTAGAAAAAACAAATTACAGGACTATCAAAATAAATGTTTTTTACTTATGTGATGCAGAAGAAAAAATAGTTTGCTAATATTTGCTAGCTAAAAAAATAATTGTTTGAAACTAGGTAAAAAAGTTTAAAATAGCTCATTTTCAAGAAAATATTTTAAATAAAAGAGTTTTCGCGCCTAAAGCAGCTTTAAATTTGAAAAGCGTCTTAGAATTGAGTGGGTCAGCTAAAAGACGATGTAATAAAAGTGGAAATACCTAGTAAATTACTTTACTAGCTTTCTGTTACGAAACATTGTATTTTTATTTTAGGGTGTAAAAATAAAAAAATATGATAAAAGGAACTTCCAATTTAAAAAAAAAAATTATATAAATCATTTACAGGAAAGACCTAGTACGAAACTTTATAAAGTTTTTCCTACAAAAGTTAACAAAAATGTACTAACAAAAAAAAGCTGCTCGATTTTATCCATAAAAATACCTGGTTGCTAGGTTTTTCCAACGAAAAATATTTAAATTTGCGTTTTACTAGGTTTTTCCATGTAAAATAAATCCGTGAAATAAGCAAATTTTGAAAAAATTTGAATACCTATCGAAAGAGGGCATCAATGGCTATTACAAAATCGATGCTAAGCATAAACCTAGTAAGTCACTTTACTAGGTTTTTTTTTTCTTGGGAGTGCTCTGCAGATTAATATTGATTTTTAATAAAAAATTTAGCTAATATTAAAACTTTAAAAAATAATTTGATTAGAAACATATTTTTATTTATATAATATAAAATTATAGTTATAGGATACATCAAATTTTATTTTTCGAAAGTAATTTCTCCAAATAATTTTTACAGGCTGATAAAACCGGCAAAGACGCAATAAACGAGAATCTGGTGCGAATAATGATTTGCCACACAAAAATGTAAACAATTTGGCCTCTTAGTTGTAATGTCTTTGGATTTATATGTGCTAAAACCTACTTTGGAATGATCGTAGCAACTTTTTTTTTAAACTAAGACACGAAATGAAAAATGGATGAACGAAATTCCCAATAATAAAATATTCTCGAATGCATTAAAAGGTCAAAGTTTATTAAACGAGATGCTGTGGAAATTCAATAAGGAACTGCAATTTTCTACGTATTTTAAATAAAGATGTTTTCTCTCACTGACAGGCGGATAAATTGATGTAACAGCAAATATTTATTTTGAACCTTTGAAAACCATTGAAAGCGTATTTTCTCGATAAATTAATTTTGTGGTTTGTCACGTTTTTCCAATAAGCCCATCTATTGTAATACAGAGAGCAATTTCAATTTATCTTTCAGCAAGGACATTGCGAACTTCATTGGCTCTTTTATGCATTAATTGACGTCAAATATCGCCACTTTCCAACAAGAACGTCACAACTCAAATTTTTTAAAAAAAGTGATTTTTATATTATTGCACTTAAAAAATCGGTATAATTTACCTGTAAAGTCGACACAAATCAACTGTTCGTAGTTTAACCAGAAGGCCTTCCCACTATTTGACACATTTGCAGGATAATATTGTACACACTACACAAGACCGCCTCAATTCAGTATCACATGACATGGACGTGACTTTTGTGGAGGTAAAATCGCACTTGCAAGTGCAAGATTGTCACAAAATAAAAAGTAATATATATTTTTTATTTTATTACAAGTTTTTTTAAAAAATCTGACACAAAACAAAAATTTTCGGTATTATTTTATTCTTATAATAGTGTCACATTTTATTTTAAAACGTTTTTGGTCGAAAAGGTAAATATTTTATATGATAACCTTTCATTTTGAGTTAGGACTGTTTAACCGATATTTGTTTCCATTTGACTTTTTTTAGTTGTGTCGGTTTATTTGTTAAATAAGGGACAAAGTTAAGACAAGGGTACGTGATTAAAGCCAAGTAAATAGTGTTTTTGTATTTTTCTTGTAAATAAATTATGTAAATTTATGGTAAATTTATGTTAAATCTATTGTAAATCTATGGTAAATCTATGGTAAATTTATGGTAAATTTATGGTAAATTTATGGTAAATTTATGGTAAATTTATGGTAAATTTATGGTAAATTTATGGTAAATTTATGATAAATTTATGGTAAATTTATGATAAATTTATGATATATTTATGTTAAATTTATGGTAAATTTATGATACATTTTTGGTAAAATTATGGTTAAATTTATGATAAATTTATGGTAAATGTATGACAAATTTACCTAACTGAATGTGTAGCACTCCATAATCCAAGGGCACTATATCTAGGAGGATATCAAATAGAAGAGGGAGACTTACCTAACTTGAAGCCACTTCAAATCCTACACTTCCTTGAGAAAATAGGATTGGAAGGGTCGCTATAGGCATTGAGACATTTCCTTAGTGCAGTGGCGACAGAAGGGGGCACAATAGATCTTTTAGGTCGCAGTGTATTAATACCCCATTATCAACATAACATAACATGACAAATTTATGTTAGATTTATGGAAAATTTATGGTAAATTTATAATAAATTTATGGAATATTTATGGTACATTTATGGTAAATGTATGGTAAATTTTTTGTAAAAGTTTCTTAAATTTATGGTAAATGTGCGGCAAATGTATGGTAAATTTAAGGTAAATGTATGGTTAATGTATGGTAAACGTATGGTAAATTTATGGTAAATTTATGGTAAATTTATGGTAAATTTATGGTAAATTTATGGTAAATTTATGGTAAATTTATGGTAAATTTATGGTAAATTTATGGTAAATTTATGGTAAATTTATAGTAAATTTATTTTAAATTTATGGTTAATTTATGGTTAATATATGGTTAATTTATGGTTAATTTATGGTTAATTTATGGTTAATTTATGGTTAATTTATGGTTAATTTATGGTTAATTTATGGTTAATTTATGGTTAATTTATGGTTAATTTATGGTTAATTTATGGTTAATTTATGGTTAATTTATGGTTAATTTATGGTTAATTTATGGTATTTATGGTTAATTTATGGTTAATTTATGGTTAATTTATGGTTAATTTATGGTTACTTTATGGTTACTTTATGGTTAATTTATGGTGCATTTATGGTATTTATGGTTAATTTATGGTTAATTTATGGTTAATTTATGGTTAATTTATGGTTAATTTATGGTTAATTTATGGTTAATTTATGGTTACTTTATGGTTAATTTATGGTGCATTTATGGTTAATTTATGGTTAATTTATGGTTAATTTATGGTTAATTTATGGTTAATTTATGGTTAATTTATGGTTAATTTATGGTTAATTTATGGTTAATTTATGGTTAATTTATGGTTAATTTATGGTTAATTTATGGTTAATTTATGGTTAATTTATGGTTAATTTATGGTTAATTTATGGTTAATTTATGGTTAATTTATGGTTAATTTATGGTTAATTTATGGTTAATTTATGGTTAATTTATGGTTAATTTATGGTTAATTTATGGTTAATTTATGGTTAATTTATGGTTAATTTATGGTTAATTTATGGTTAATTTATGGTTAATTTATGGTTAATTTATGGTTAATTTATGGTTAATTTATGGTTAATTTATGGTTAATTTATGGTTAATTTATGGTTAATTTATGGTTAATTTATGGTTAATTTATGGTTAATTTATGGTTAATTTATGGTTAATTTATGGTTAATTTATGGTTAAATTATGGTAAATTTATGGTGAAATTATGGTAAATTTATGGTAAATTTATGGTAAATTTATGGTACATTTATGGTAAATTTATGGTAAATTTATGGTAAATTTATGGTAAATTTGTGGTGAAAATAATTGATATAATAGTTTTTGCTAACATAAAAATACTAATGGTCATTATTACTAATAATTCAACGTGATTTCATCATTTTGTTTAATAGATTCTTTTGAAAAATCAATGTTTTTAAATTATGCCGGTCGTGTTAGAAAACAGCGATATATAGAACTGACTATTCCTTTTCTTGCAGGAATTATTTGAATTTCATCATTGAAGAGCTGAAAGATCCTGTAAGGTGAGTTTTAATTGTTTTATTTCCTGTTAAATGTTAAAACGTACACTTTTTGTTTAGAAACCTGAATAAGAACCTTGGCACTTGACAAAATATGTTTTTTTTTCTTGCTCATCGAGGTCGAATCTTTCGTACACGTTGGTGCAGGAATCGGCACAGTTGATGCAGACTAAACTTGTGGCTGAATTGGATTTCCACTGAGTGTTTCTTGGTTAATCATTTCAACCGCTCTATGGATTTTGTAAGGTTATTCCAGTTTACACAAAAGTTTGCAAAACTTCTTCATATTGGTCAAATAAGCGTTTAAATGGAAAATGGAGAATTGATCAGTATATGCGTATATACTGATCCAAATTTAAAATTTCAGTGCTCCCTGAACGCAAAATTTGATGCTTTACAACTTTTGTTCTACTAGTTTTTCATGTAGAGTAGTTGTTTTCACATCACAGACGTCTAAAAGTGAGTTTCTTGCAGTTTTCACAAAAGTTGCTAAAAATCGATCAAATTTGAAAGTTATGGAGATTTTTTGGCGTAAAATTTTATGCTCTTCCGAGGCAGCAAACTTTAGATTCGTGTTCAGCACCCCAAAAAACTTATAATTTCGTTGAGAAACCTTCTACCGCACTCATGTTACGAAACAGACACTTTTGAACACCATTTGATCAGACTATAATGTAAAAGTTTCAATGATCGACACTGTTCCAATAATCGTCACTTTTTCCTACTTTCGAACATATTAAGATTTCTAACGATGTTTCAAAGCTACTTTTTTGCCATACAAATAAGCGCAATATCTCTAGACTTCCAGTGAAATATTAATGCAATTGTGACTACAGCAGCAAATATTTCTTACTCAAGTGTCAGCCACCACATGAAGCCTGTGAAGAGAAGTGCTTTTTTTATTTCTATAGTATATACTGACTAAGAATATCTAGTTTTTCGGGACAACCTGGTGTTATTTTTGATTTCCTGTGGTAAGGGTAGTCCATAATAGAATTTGATTTAAGTTTTTATGAGATATTTCATTATTTTATAGGTATTTTCCTTAAAAACTAAGTGTCAACAGGAGTTACGCCTTATATTTAAAATATTTTATTTAACGGTTTAAACAAGAATAATTTATCAAATAATCATTGTTAATTAATCAAAATGAAGCAAAATTTTTCACCTACCAATTATTGACATACTACTCTTTTTATAAATAAATGATTGACTAATTGAAAGTTTTTAATGTTAAAATTTTACAAAAATTAAAAAATAAATTGAACATCTGCCTATATAATTAAACAAGGACCACTTCAAATTATGTTTTTATGTTTATCGACATATCATTATTTTCATCTATTATTGTTAATGCATATCACGATAACTAATGCACGAATATGCCGATAGTGGCTTCAATTTCATTTTTTGTGTCGATTACAGGTACTTATTCCATGTCGATAAGTGATGTTTTAATGTCAATAACTATGGAGCTGTTTAAATGCGTTTTACATGAAAATTTTACAAAAATTAAAAATAAATTGAAGTTGTATTTTTAAATATAAAATAGATAACACTTTAAATTTTCATTTTAAGATTGTCGACATCTACATTTATTTTTTGTTAATTACTGTTGATGACTAGGGCATGAATATGTCGATAATTGTTATTTTCATTCTGAGAAAAATGTCAGAAAGGTTTTAATATTCCATGGAATGCCTACTTTAAAAGCATCTAAATAATTTGGTGTTTCTAGAACGACACTTTCGAATAAGGTGGATGGTAGAGTAACTGTTGATAGGAAAATTGGATCTGACACAATTCTAAACCAATAGGAGGAATCATTATTAATCAAATGGATGTTCCATGTTGCAAATTGTGGGTTTCCTCTAATAAAAGAATCCTTGCTTGAAAGTGTTCAAATGTTAATCAAACAGTTGTCTTGAGGCATGACGTCAGTGGTTTGGTGATTTTGACAAAGTTCCTTATACATTTTCTGTAGTATCTAATCAATCCTAGGAAGTATCTAATATATTTTTCTGTCTCTGGTATGGGTAGTCCATTATGGCTTTGTTTTGTTTGAAGTGGGTTCTATTCCATCTGAAGCAATATCATATCCTAAGAAGCCCACTTCTTCCTTTAAAAATTCACATTTATCTACTTTGGACCCAGTTTCTCGTAGTTGTTGGAATAATTTTGAAAGGTCTACCATGTATTTATGCAGTGAGATAAAGAAGACTATTTGTCGTCCATCTATACTAGGCAGATTTCTCCTTGAAGGCCTTTAAGAATGTTGTCCATGGAAGGTTGCAGGAGCATTCGTAAGACCAAATGGCATAAGAACGTATTTAAAATGGCTGTTCTCGACGTTAAAGGCTATTTTCTGACCATCTTCCTTTGCCATTTCAATTGGGTGAAATCCGCCCACTAAATCAGGAGTCGAAAAATACTGACATCGTCCAAGCTTGTCTGCAATATCTGTTATACTCAGGACCAGAAAAAATGGTTTTTTCATTAATCTTCTTGCAATTGGTGACAATGCGTCACTTGATCGTTCCTGAGCCGTCGGGTTTTTTCGGAACAACCCAGATTGGCGAAGACCATGGATATTGTCTAAGTCTGATTATTCCTTGGTCCAGCATAGATGATATCTGTTTATTTACTTATTCCTTGTAGATATGCAAATATCTATAGGATTTCGTATAGATAGGAGCCTCATCTGTAGTTCGGATATGATGTTTTGTTTAACATGCGTAAGTAGAGGATAAGGATGATGAAAAATATGTTTTTCTTCCTCTGGCTTTAAATGATCTGTTCTAAAAAGTGGATCATTGTCTATAAAGGTTACGCCATATAGAAAGGTAACCGCCATATAGAAAGGTAACTGCCATATAGAAAGGTAACCGCCATTACAATAATGTCAAATTTTTAAACTTGCCAGTTAGGCAACTCTGTGTCCTTGATCTTGGATCTCACTGCCTTAATTGAAATTCTTACTTTCCTGAATGTTAGAAACACGAATTCGATTCAAAGTAAAGAAATTAAATTGGCTTTTTTACCAAGCTAAATAATTTGTTTTTAATATTTTTCAGAAACCTACCTCTAGCCATAGCCATCTCCTGCACCCTAGTGACAGCAGTCTACGTGCTAACAAACATAGCATTCTACACCACGCTCTCTCCTGTAGAAATTCTAGGTTCCAAAGCTGTGGCTGTGACATTCGCAAATAGACTGTTCGGACCATTTGCTTGGACAATACCTGTGTTTGTTGCTCTATCGACTTTCGGAGCTGTGAACGGTATCTTGCTCACTTCTTCCAGATTGTTCTACGCAGGCGCGTGTCACGGACAAATGCCTGAACTGCTCACTATGATACAGTCTAAGAAATTGACGCCCACGCCGTCTGTAGTAATTATGGTGAGTCTTGCAGCATGAATTATTACCCAAAAACAATAGTTATTTATGTACCAAGTCAGCAAAGTGATTCTTTATTAAACTAGTCTGAAATTATGAGCCGAGCGAGAGAAGCGAGCGTTGCAAATAACAGGCGAGTTCGATAAAGTCACTTTGCTGACGTAGTCTGTGCAAACTTTTGTCGCCAACCGTAAATAATTATAATTAATACAAAAAAGAGATATCACATTTTATGACAAAGTAAACAAACAGAAAAATAACAGAGAATACAAAACAAATCAATTATATACTTTTTCTGTCAGACAGTCATGGCTATGTTGATGAATATTAGCGGTAGGTAAAATATTTGTTTTTGCAGTGAGATAGTGTTTGTTTATTTCTGCAAATGACTATGGTAATGCATGGCTTTATTGACGGTTGGCGATAAATTAAATTACATTACTTTAAATGTGCCTACCTACATAAAACAAAATACCTACTAATAGAGACGTCACAGAAATAACAGATCCCAGTAACAGGAAACCTATTAGCCTTCTATCTGAATTAGGATATAGTGGTTTAAAGCCCCCTCGTACTGAAGCTTTAGGCTTTCCCCTCTCAGATTATTGTAATGCTCAGTGTATTCAAGAAAATGTCAGATGGGCACTTTCGCGATTTCTTTTGGTTCCGGATATTGTACCCCGACATTCCATCTCATTCCCCATTTAAGTTTCCGGCAATGGTTCCTCATCTTCACGTTTTCTACTTAAGGAGTTGTCAGATTTTCTTAAGAGATTTAACTGTCTTCTAAGGTCACAGTATTCCGTAAAGAGTCCTATTATGGCCTTGAGTTCATATCAGCTAAGGGTTAGACAGTTGATTTTGTCTGCTCTTGCATGAACGACTTTAAATAAATATCCTGGTCTGCCTGAGTCTGGCCAGGAAGTTCTTAATCAGCGCTTATGGTGTTCCCTATTTACCTATTCCATTAACATCCCTTCAACATGTTAATATGAGATCATGTGGGTTCTGATCCATTTAGTGTTCTTAGTTCCCTTCCTGGCTGGAAGATCTGCTTTCTCGTTTCCCAAGACTCTCTAATATCCCGGCATCCATTAAAATGTGGCGTTGGGTTCTGCTAGGGTCTAGTATTAATTTGTATTGTTCTGCTACCCTTTTCAACGCTCTGCTCTTTAAGAATGACATTAAGCATAATCTGGACACATGCTTTTATTGCTATTATTTCACCTTGGAAGTCTGTTGTCAATAATCCCAGATTTAGACTAATGGTGCTCCCTGAGAGCGCATGGTAAATCCCAGCTCCTGTGCTATTTTAAATCTTTGAACCTCATGTATACCAGAATGATTCATTTTTATTTCTACCTTTCCCAATATGTACATATACTTTAAACATATTCTGATAGGAAACGAATTGCTCTTTTAAGATTACAGATAAATCTAAATTGATTGTTTATGGGACAATGAAATTAAATCCAAGCATCGCAGTTTTACGACGAGAAAGGCAAATAAAATCAGTCTTTATTGAAACGTATTATAGTTTGAAATAGAGTCAATCTCATGAAAGAAATTGGAAAACAAATACCCACTATATTAGATTTAAGCTTGATTTGTATCTCGAATGCAATAGGATTGCAGATAGGAAGTCTCCTTGTCTAACTCCTAAGGGGACAGGAGTCAAATTGGTTAAGATTTTACAATATATACCGTCTATAATCTCTGATAATTACAATTTTCTGTTTTCATTAATTGTTGTAAACTATAAATAATTATGACATAGATAAAAGTTTGTCTTTAAAATAATCTAATTATATATCGCTTGCTGAGAACAATAGTGACGAAACTCAGAAATCGAGAGTTTTAAGTTAAGTCCACCAAACAACACAAAAATGGGTCCTCTGTTTCATGCTAGAGGAACGATAGAGTATCTCACTTCCTTATTCGTAGATGGCAGTGTATTGTCATTGTAGTAGTGAAAAAATGAAGCACAGACATGAGTAATAAAGACGAAGATCACGTTCAGTAAATAGCGAAAAATTTATATCAGTCGTGGTAAATTGTTAGTTACGCCGCTGTTGCACACATGTAGCAAATTTTTCTTTGATAAGATAGAGGAATACTGACAAATGTGTTTTAGACAATAGTGTCCCAATAGTTGAGCGATAATTCAAGATGGTAGTATCGTAAACAAAGGTTTCGTCGTTTATGCCACAAATAAGGTTCAGTTTTGTTGATGCACTTGTGGGCTTTTTGATATCTGTCGTTATTGCATTACAAAATTTTTCGTTACTTAAAAATAGTTGCATTATGTTAGAGTTACGTCATAACTGCACAACGAAATTTCTTTAAAGCCATTTATTATAACGTTCATTGGAATTTCTTCACAGCGTCAATAAAGTTAAGCATATTTTTTAGCTGCATGTTCATTTTTGAAGGAAATTCCCAAGACAGGTCATTTTTTGATTTTAATTGGGACATTCTCGCATAATTAATTAATGTACTATCTTGGAGTGACATGTCGTAGCAGACGTCGATTGTTCTGATTTGAATTAAATTACAGAAAAGTTGGCCATTTCTTCATTCAATGACAATATTTTAACTTACGTATAGTTAAAGTTAAATGTCCTCATTTGGATCGATTCTTTTATAAGATGTCCTATAAAGAATCCGAATTACAAGCTGTAGGTACTTATAAGGGATACTAAGATAGGGCAAAGAAAGATGCTAAGCAATTTAAAAAAATACATTTTATTCCAGCTTATTCCTATTTCTAAAAGAAAGTTTTCTGTTTTTCAAGCCTGCTACAAAATAAATTAGTTTATATTATGAAGAAAAAAATATTATTTTTTAGATTTGTTGGTTCTTCATTTTCTTTTTAGTTGCATTCTCCACTTACTTTATGTTTGAAAGGAAATTCAGGTATTAAAGTTTTAAGTGCGTGATTTTTTTCTTCATCGTTAATCTATGTCGCGTCTCTTTCATAGTGCCGTTTTTCCATTCGTCACGATAACCCTTGGCTGATGCCATCTTGAATCGCTTAGCCAAGTCGCAAACCACTTATCCAAGTTTCAATTTTCAACACTGACAGGTGGCGCCATCTCGCGGTAACGTTTGAAAGTAGTGGTCAGGCTGTTTTTGATCTTAGTTATACTAGTTTATAACTGGTTTTTGATATTTTTGTTGCATTGAGTAAATGATTTTTCTTTTTTATGCATTTTTGTACCAAAATCCGTATAAACACTCACATTCTAAGAAAAAAATGGGGGTATTTTTTGGTTTCAACAACACTTACACTAGTTAAATTACTATATTTAAAGCAAAAATATAAAAATGAAACTGAAAATGACGAGCTCTTAGCCAGTTATTATACTTAACAATTTTAGTAACACTTCAAACGCGATTATCTTAAAATTGAAATTTTTGAGTTTCGCCACTATAGTTTTCAGCAGGCGAATATATTTTTGTATTGTAAATCAAATATTTTTTAGGCTCTTTTGTCTCTGCTGTATCTGACAGTATCTGATATTGATGCTCTTATAAACTACGTTGGATTTGCAACTTGGGTGAGTACTTTAATTATTTTACCATTATTTTTAAAATTTTAAATATGCATTCTTTGGAAATTCCCAAATAAATGTTCCCTATCAAATAATGAAATACAGTCTGTTCGCTATACTTACGCGGGTTTCGGATTAAAAATTTTATGAGTATTTCCAGGTAAGTACCCGAAAGATTGACCTGTTCTTTGGGGAAATTTCAACTGGTTAAATGAAATGAAAAATAATGTACAACTTTTTAATTAAATAATAATGGAGAATCTTTTGTATAATTAAACTTCTTCATTAATGGAGTCTAATGTGGCTATTATAAACCTAATAAAAATTTTATATTACACTTCACACAGAAAATATGGTCTATGTATAATAAGAAGGTTATTTAGCTCAAATAAAATATTTTCTAATATAAAAATTTGTTCCATGTAGAGAATTACAAATGAAAAATAAAAAAATTGAACTTGCCAACAAAAATGAAAATCAGTCATTATCATCCAAAATATCATAATCGTCATCATCATCACTGTCATCACCATTACTTGTTATTATGATGGGACTTATTTCGTTTATTTTATTTTCACTTACTAGTCCACCAATCTTCTATTAGTTTCTCGCACTTGGATATACAGTTCCGCCACACTTCTGGAGTTGCAATTGAAAGTGCTTTTCGCCAAGTTTCCCGAATTGCGTCGTCACTATAACCATTAGGCCCAATATGGTTGTCATAATATTGTTTTGCTATTCCCCATATATATTCGATGGAATTAAACTGGCAATGATACGGTGGCAGACGTAAAACTTGATGACCGTAACTTTCAATAATCTGATCCACAACAAAGGTTTTTGGTTTTGCGTGTATATTTGCCAAGCGTAATAATTCTGATTTTAATATATATTGAGGAAATGGTATATGTTCCTTTGTCAACCATTCTTTAATTTTATCAACAGTCCAAGAATTCGTTGGACTTTTGTTTAATACTTCAGAATGGTAAGGTGCATTGTCTAAAATAATTAAGCTGGGCTCACTTAAACCTGGGAGAAGTTTTTCATCCAACCATTTTACAAACATTTCTGTGTTCATATTATCGTGATAGTCACTGGATTTTGATTTAGATGAAAATATTTAATCAGCACCTTCTATAAAACCCGATTCCCCTCCTGCATATAAAATTATGTGTCGCTTCCCTTCTCCATCGGTATGTTTGATGGACTTTACGTTATCATCTTGCCATATTCTCTTGGTTGCACCCCTAGAAAATATCCATGTTTCGTCTAAATATATAAAATTCTTTAAATTTAGAATATTTTCTTAGAAAGTTAATTCTCTTTTGCACGACAGAACTTCTTTCACAAAGGGCCTTTCTGTTATCCTCCTTTTGAAATTTGAAACCCAAGTTATGTATCACTTGCCATAGACTTGTTCTGCCAATGCCGTCAAATTTTCTATCTATTAATTCCGGGAGAATTCTATTTAAGGTCACATGTTCCTTGTTCGATAAATGGTATCACGAATTTCAAATTTCTTTCCATCTGGAATATCTTTCGTTTTCAATGATGGGCGAGTTTTGCGGTGATATTCTTTCGGCAGTTCACTATTGTGATTTTGTAATACTCCTCTTAATTTGGTTTCACTAATTCTTAGAGCATAGCATGCGCGTTGTTGTACAGACATTACCTATTTTAAAAGACCGTCATTTTCTTTTTCATCCGTAAAATACTTATGTACACTACAAATTAGACTATCTACATCTAACACACGTCTACGCATTTTTAAAATTTCCACTAAATTTACAATATATTTTATATACAATGTCAACACTTGCAAAGAATCAATTCAACTGCAATATTTGTAACAAATTTAGTACCTACTCTAATGTTATTTTAATTTAAATCTCACCATTAGGGCAATTTTATCTAATTTCTTGGGAAGCGGCTTATTGGAACTGGTTGTCAATGACTAATTTGCATAATTTTGTTAATCCGAAACCCGCGTAAGTATAGCGAACAGACTGTAGTAATTTACGTTACAAGACCGGAAAGTAGTGTTTTGCAGGTCGAGACAAGCAGATTTCAGGGCGAGCCGTAGGTGAGACCTGGAAGCTTGGCAAGACCCGCATAACACAAACAATATTTTTTTTAAGACCGACACTTCAACGTAAACTCAATTATTTATTTAATTTAATATAGTGATTAAAAAATACTAAAACTAGATAATTTTCTATGTCAGATAATTCAAAATCTGAATCAATATTTTTAAATTTGCGAAAACAAGTTTGACATAAACAACAAATTAAAAATCGACGAACTGTCACTTGGCAATATATCGAAATATTGTTACCATAGTAACGAAATCAAGGCAGACTGTATTATCAAACAGCGATCGAAAAAATGAAAAACAGGGACCGGTAAAAGATTCTACTTTCCATTCTTGATCGGCAAAACGTTATTTTGTGGACGAAAAATTGTTCTGAAAGTGTATATTTTCTGGTCTGTCTTAAAAAAACTATTTTTGAACCCTCAAAATGAAACAACATGGACCGTACTCAATATCTTTTATAACTTTACAGAAAACTCATATTTTTATAATTCAAAACAAAAAAATTGCTCTCCTGAAAAACTCTTAGAGTGAAGATTGTCAGCTTTGTTACTAGTATACTCAAAAGCTATTTTGTATAAAATTACCAATGTTTTAAACATCATTAATATTAATGTTATAAAATATTTTACAGTTGAGTATCGGCGTAGCAGTCCTTTGTCTTCCATGGCTTCGTTGGAAACAACCAGACCTCGTCAGGCCAATCAGGGTGAACTTATTCTGGCCGATCCTGTACCTTCTATGCACGATCTTCGTGACTGCTGTACCGATGGCTGCCAGCCCGTACGAAACAGGAATGGGCATGCTGATGATACTTTCATCCATCCCCGTATATTACGTTTTCGTTTATTGGCCGAAACCGGAATGGTTCCAAAAGGGGTCCAACGGAGCTACCGTATTTTTGCAAAAAATATTCGTTGTTGTTGGTAAAGCAAAAGCTGTGAAGTTGTAATTGACATATCTTTAAGAGTGGTTTAGGCTAGACGATTGTTTCGTCTAGTGTAAACTGAGTGTTAGATTCTTGGGAATATCTTGTTGGCAGGTTTAAATTTACGTACGAATGTCAAATAAATTTTGTTAGTGTTCTCCCACAACCGCCTCTAAGTAAGTTATGGGTATTGATGGAGGTATTATTCGAACTTACATACCATTTATTTATATAATAAAAACTTTAAAGCTATAACTGAAACTGTAAGAACACAAAATACTCTTCTTTCCTTGTTTTCAATTAATTTATATTACACTCAGCCATTTTGATTGCATGAAACTCGAGAACCCTTAGTTTTCTTCAGTTAAACTACAATTTTGTCGCATAATTACTATGCACTTCACCAACACTACCACCAAATTTTTCAAGCTAAAACCGGTTTAATTCTACATTAAAAACATCAATTAATAAGTATTTACTAGCGCGTTCTAAATTTTTTCATATGGCGTAGGAAATAAATAGCATCCTCGCAGCGTTGCCAATTTTTAGTGATTTCGGCTAGTTACTTAGAGATCGTTGTGGTTCTGCAAATTGGTCACAAATTTCAAATGATTGAGGCTGAGTTTTGAAAATGATATATTTTATTCAAATATAGTTCAGACTATACAATGGATATAATCAAATAATAAAACGGAATAAATAGTTTGTTTATATCTCACATGGTTAGAAAATTCGGATTACAATATGTGGCTAACAATGTTAAAATGTCGTATAGAGTCTCTTTAACCTTCTACTGCATGAACTATTATTCGTTCATTAAAAAATAAAAAGCTTCATACGTGGTTTTAGTTGATGTAATTAAGCGATATAAACAAAAAATTACATAATTTTTCCTTAAATTAAAAAAACTGTCACCGCCATATATGGCTTGGAATGCAAAAAAATCAAAAATACAAAATAAAGATTGGGCCATATATGGCATTCTATGCAACCGAACAACAACTGATTATGTATGAAATGATGCAAAACAATTTCTGTCTTTATTTAGACATAGGCAAACTTTACATATATACAAATAATCTAAACTTACAATTGTTATAACATTGCAATCTACAACTTTTCCATGAAGGAAAATGCCCAATAGTGTATGTACGTACAGAATTTAGAGGTACATCTTGCCTCATTTTGGGTTTTTTCCTTTTTTGACAGGGTTGTATTAGTTAGGGTTGCTACTTTACTCAATGTTGGGGTTGATACTCTATGTTAGGGTTGCTACTTGACTCGGTACTGGTGTACCACTATTAGATGGACGTCCTCGTTTCTTTTGAAAACTTTTGCCTGCTAGGTATTCGGAGATGTTCGCTAATATATTGTTTGAAATCAAACAACGGCATATACTTGCCGCTCTTCCGAGACCACAAGAGCCATGTATTTGCAACACACATATCTAGTAAGTGGAGAAAAAAACATACCGCTTTTTGGAACGGACTTGTATCCGATACAAACCCAACATTGTATCAAGTAGGTCAACACCCCCCATTTGTTTATTATATATCTATCGATAGCTTTAGGGCAAGGTATATCCCCATATTCGCATTCTTTTCTAAAATATCTTTGTCTTTGGGTTACAGGAGAAGAGCTCACATAAGACGAAAGATAGTTACAAGCTTATTGTCATACCAGCATACACATCCAACGTCTACCCTATCAACCCTACCTGTTCGGCGATACTGCCACGACCACGTTTTTTAAATTCCTTTTCGGATGGCATTGTGGAATCAGTTACCAGGTTTCTTCGTGCTGTTCCTAATGATAGTAAACCTTTTTTAGATAGGTATACCTGGAGTTTTATACTATTAAACCAGTTGTCGGTAAGCTTGATCACTACCTTGCCACTCGCACCAATGTTTGGTGCACCAGCAAAAATATCAAAATCGTAGCTGAAACCAGACGATTCACAAAGTACTAAATTTTTGTACCCCCATTTTTTTGCTTTATATGATTAAATTGCTTCAAAATATGTCTAGCTTTGGTTGGTATGATCTGTTCATCAACTGCCAAGTATTCTTCTTTTGGTACGAGGAGCAATTGTTTCCGTATTGCTTCGATAAGAAGTAGAACTTTGAATATTTTGTCATGCCCAGGTAAACCATGACGGATAAATTTAGTGTTATCATTAAAATGTAAACGTCTTTTAATCTCTTCCCACCAATTACATGTCATTATCTCATAGACCTGTGGCTGACCTAAACTGGCACTCCAATATAATCTAGTTAAAAGTAATTTAACTAGGAATATGAACATAGTTATTCCAATAAATTGCTCGAGTTCTTGTATAGTTAGTTTTAGAGGTTTATTTATGTATCTTTTATGGCTTTTAGATTAGATTCATCTACAATCATGTCTAATAGTTCTTCAGTGCAGTGCATCCATACTTTCCGCTAAATCAGTTGTGTCTAAAAATTTGTAAAGTTCTTCATCGTACTCCTTCAATTTTTGCTCCTTCCATGTAACCTTAACTTCCTTCTCTTTTTTAGTCTCACCCTTTTGTTTTTCTTTACCCTTGGCATTTTGTTTTATAACCTTTTGTTTTTTGTAGCTTTACTCTTTTGTTTTTTTAGCCATTTGTTTGAGGTTGATGATTTCGTATCATCATCTGTTTCGGCAGCTGATGAATCAGATAAATATTTGGCGTCACTTTCAGAATTTTCATCCTCGCTATCAGAAATTATGTTATCTTTCCTTTTTTTAGTATTATGCGGTAAATATTCGTCGTCTGAATATGAATTATCAAGAAATTCAGCATCACTACATGATCCATCACCTGGAATGTCATTCGTATGCTTCAGTATTCCATAAAAGTGATTAGAAGTCATTTCTGCAAAAAAAAAGAATACGTACTTTACATTCAAGTTAAACTGCATAAGGAGCCAAATATGGCTGGCAGAAAAATAGATATTATTCCGTAAGTTGCATAAGTAGCCATATATGGCAGGTAAACAAATATCAGTTTTGTAAGAAAATCAAAGTAAATAATTTGAAAATTTCACTTAGACTGTAAAGAACACATGCCAATAATACTAAAAAATTAAATAATGTATTACTTACCTACACAGTAAGACGATGTAACTAGAAACAATTGTAATACATTTTTCACACCTCGTTGTGTCGTTACACAGACACGTTGCACTAATAAATGAAATAAATGTGTAAGGCGCGCTGTTGCCAAAGTTTAAAAAATATACGTAAAGTACTGAAAGTCATTAATTTACAGATCTGATGTCCTCTATTGGCCTATATAATTTCGAACACAAAAAAATATTATAAGCATGAATCCATATATGGATTTTTATGCGGTAGAGGGTTAAAGCCAGCATATACAGATTCAGGAGAATAAATATAGGAAAACAGGTTTTACAATGCAGTTGACCAGCAGAAAATTATTTTTTTCTAATTTTGACATATAAAGTGGCATTTTTTGTAACCGCAGCAATTCTCAAAATGATCTACTTTATGAAACCAGTTTCATAATGTTGAAAATTATGCAACTGGTTACGAAAAATTCATTATTTGACTTATAAAAATAGAATTTGGTTAAACTTACAACCTAGCAATAATGTTGTTTGTGTCCTTATTTTCCATTCTAACTTATCACAAAATAATTAAAACGCAATACACGACAAAATAATCCACTTTCTTGAAAACTAAATAACTTTAACAAGCCAATATAAACACAACAAAAGTTGTTGAGAATAAATTAATATGATTTTCTGTTTGTCAGTAAATTGAATGAAGTTATGCAGATGCAACTAACAATAAAAGAAAGTAATATTGGTTGCCTAGATGTTAGTAATATTTTACCAAAACACAATTTTATAATCTAGTCAAAATTAAAAAAAGTTATTGTATGTAACACGTTACAAAATAAGTTATTTGTAACTGGCTGTATAACTAGCTATTGTTTGTACATTTTTAAACCATTTTATTAAAAAAAAATGCCTCAAGATATTCTTAAACAAATAAAAGATTAGTAATAATAATTGTGCTACCAAAGAAGATATTATTTTTTTTTTCTAAAATATTTTAAAAGAAATGCCATGATCAGAATGACATATCCTTAAACGATTTTGACTGATTGTTATCTAATAATAATTAATACACATTGCCTTTACGAAAACTGCCAAAGAAGGTAGGTACATTCTAAATTTAGTACCTCAGACAGTCACAAACATTTTGTAATAGAAAAATAGTTTGCTTCATTTTAGCTTTAAGCTAAATAAATAGTATTTTGACCAAAATATACATTTTTATTAATAAAATTTGGCTTAAAAGCCTTTTGTACAAAGTAAAAGAGAATTATCTTCACTTCTTCAGTATCCTAAAATCATAATTCTCCATCAGAGCCTGTAAAAACCATTTTAGCTGTCTAGGCATAGGCTGTAAAGTAGGCAATTAGACACAGTAGATAGTCACTTTGATTATGAATTTTCTTTTATATTTCATTTGTTAATAGAAGCAACCAAACTGTTGTAAAATAAGATGTTTATTTTTTTAATTATTTTTCGATTGTTGTGTAAAAAAAACGATGTAAAAATTTAACTTTAAACTGTTTCTGTATTAATTTTTATAGAAATAACAGACTAAATGTAGGTAATATTTGTCACGTGATATTATATTTGTGACAAGTGACAGATAGTGTATGTTGGAATTATAAAAATCGAAGTAGAAATGTTTATACATACCTATAAATCTGGTTCCTTATTGTATTAGGGTGAGATTACAGAACGTCTGCAACCTTGCAGATCTGCAACTTTGCACATCTGCAAATATGGCGGACTTACAAATGCAAGTATTCTAAAAAATATCTGCAAATTCGCCATATTTATTGTGGTTTATTACCCCCAACAACACTAAACCCAAATTTGGAATACGAAAACTTGATACTTGCATGTGTAAGTCAGTCATATTTGCAGATTTTCAAAGTTGCCGCCATATTTGCAGATCTGCAAAGTTGCAGACGTTCTGTAATCTCACCCTTATTATTGTACATAATTTTGTATGTTTAGTTTTTTATTTTAGGTTTCCTTAATTCAAATATGACCAATAATGCTTTTAAATTAAGAAGGATTAAGAATCTGAAGTCTATTAGGCATTCCAAACAAAATTGTTGCCCGTGGGTAATGACAAGTTATGATGTGGCAACCCTGTGTGCCTGGTGATTTGACAGGGTCAATGATATAGTTAGTTATATAGATTGATCAAGCATTTCTTTCAAAATAAATATAAGCTTATGCTTTGAAGTAAAAATGTAGGTAACTATTTTTATTTACTATGTTCAAAGGCTGAAAATTGGTATTAAAATTAAAACACATTTTTTCTAAAGCAATTCTAATTAATGAGCACTTGTGAAGCAATATGGCCGCTTCCAAAACGACCTGCTTCGAGCAATCCATATAATAAGCCCACAGGGTAGCCATATCATAATCTGTCATTACCCACGGGCAGTATTTGACATTTTGACATTTGACATACAATTTTTATTTATCAAATCTCAAAATATTGCAAAAATATGAATATATTACCTAAACAGACTTATTGTTTTTTTAGGTTTTGATATTATATTTGGTAAACAAATTGAAGTATTTAAAAAGAATGCAATTAGTTTGGCCAATAAGAATTTTCAAAGGGTATCCCGTCTGAAAAAGAAAATGGCATATCTTTTACAATAAAAATGGATATTGTGTGAATCAAAAATAAGAATAAAATTTTTGTTAGATAGCAATATTATAAATGTCGAAAATTTAATTATTTGAAGACAATAAATAGATAGACAAAATTTGGGAGAGGATTAAAAAAACCTAATTTTAAAATTTTATTTTTACTTTTAGATAAAAGTTTGCTGAGGGTTAAATCAATGTATTAGGATACCTATTCATAACTTTAATAATATGAACAGTATTATATGTTACTTCGTGTACAAAAAAAAGTATTGGGTAGCCTTTACCTATCTTCCTAAATACAAATATTGTATTATGTTTGATTGTCTCATTCCGAACATAAAAAAAATGTTGGGTCTTCAATTCAACATAAAATCTTTAATACTCAATTTTATGCGTGTATTTTTTAATAATATATTTAGACCATAACTCCCAAGTAATATTTATTCCATCTCAAGGGGTAGGTAGTACTTTTTAGGGGTCTTTCTCCATAGATTTGAACTATAATAAACAACAAAATAAATCCAATTCTTTTGAAATGTTGCCAAAAAATAATTAATTTTCAGCAATTATTACTTGGGAAGTCAAAGCCTACTCACATCGACAATAAAGGTATATTTGTATAATACTTGTATACATGTGTAAAGAAAAAAATTAATTTTTGTGCATTTTTGTTTGATTATAAAATAAAGAATAAGGCAAAGATGTGAGAGTTTTTTTTAACCTTTATTACCTATTCCTGGTAGTCAAATAGCAAAAATGTAGGAGTAAAATGTTCAGTTCCGTTATACACGCTTCAGCATTTAATTTATAAATGCCGTTTCACCCTCAAGGAACACAAATATTATCATAATCAAGATATTATTAATTTTAGATTGTTTATATTGTTTTTGTTTTGGATTTTGACTTTTGTATTTTTTCGGAAATATGAGTTGTCAATCTTATGAAAAGTATAAACATCTTTTAATTCAGCAAACTTTGAATAACAATCAATCCTAAACAAAAAGAGATAATTTTTAATAAAAAGAAAACGTTTAAATAATAAGTACAAGTAATTATAAATAAAACGAAAAGTTACACATTTAATTTTATTTAATAACATTTTTTATACATACATTTTTGAAATAAGTTTACCTATACAAAAAACCTTTATTTTCAAAAATGAACAGATAAATTATAAAATAATTTTTTTACGGAGCTGACAAAAACTCAATGACCACCGGAGGAGGGATATTTTTATTGGCATTTGAAAATACATCAGGAAAAGTCTTTAAATATTTAAAAAATTCGAAATGGAATGCTTTATGTTTCTAAATCTATAATAATCTCACTATGAACCCCGATTAATTTAACATAAATTAAATCTTCTTTATAAAGAAGGGAATGTTGATTTTATTAATTGAAAATGTATTTAGAGTCTTAAGATAAATAAATAATCACCAGATGACGAAAAACAATTATATGTCTATCAGTGTTTTCGTTAGCAAAACAAAATAACAAATTTTTTAATAGGACAGAGTCTAGTGGCCCAGAAAGACCTAAAAGAATGGAAGGAAACACATGGTAGTACCATGATAATATTAAATAAATGAAAACCGTTAATTTTTATACAATTTTCTTAGCTTATAAAAAGATAGATTTGTTTTTAGTTAAGAGCAAACCAGAACTCTCGCGAGAAGCAAAATTTTGTGAGAACCTTCTAATATAAAATTGCATTTACATGCGTACCACTGAGAGAAAAGAAATAAATGTCACCGTGAGAGAAAAGATAGAAGAAGAGGCTTTCAATCGGACGTGTCAGCCTTTTTAAAATGTCTAAAATAATAAAAAACTTGAATATTCTAGAACATATTTTGTATCTCTTTGGAATATAAGAAGGAAATGTATACCAACTCAAGTTTTTTGTTCCCTTCTAAAAATATTAAAAATCTGTAAGTTCAGTTATTTTATTTGACGACTAGAGATGGGAACAACGAATAAAAAGGTTGTAAAATAACAAGAATTTTGAAATCAATGTAACGGTATCCCAATAATATTAAGAGCTTTAAATTTGTACAACAAGGCAGCACCCTACAGAGATATTTAAGAAATAAAGGTGGGAATCCCTCCCTCCCATTAAATAACTACTAGTAGATATTTATTAAAATGAGAAGCAGCAAATTTTCATAGATTTAATACAAAATGGTGCTTAAATGTTTTTTTATATTCTTTTAAAAATTATCAAAATAAATAGGTTTACAAAAAAATTAAGGTTTCTCCACCCTAAGTTTTGTTATTAATTCACAAAAATCGGACTAATTAGAAATTTTCAAGGTAGGTATTCAGTTTACTCTTAACAAAGAATATTTGTAAACCTCTGCTTAATCAATAGTAAATTTTTTATACCTACTTTACGTTTTTCTCTTACTGTATTATTAACTAGTTCTGTTTTTAGGGTACCTATAGGTTCCTATATTATAAATATTTTGTACCTACGAATTTTATTCCAATTTAACAGGTATATTTTTAGGTTTAAAAAATGTTTAGGCATTGATAAGCCACAGATTAAACTTCGGTTTCTTAGAAGTGACAATATAATTTTATAGTATTAGTCATAGTCTATTTTTTAATCACATATTGTTAACTACTTTTTAAATTATAACATCACATAAATATATTTCACAATTTTTATTAATTAATATATTGTTTTATCCCTAAGAGAATGTATTGCTCTCAACCCACCTCATACAATCTAAGAATACATAAGATATTATTAATCCTTAAAATCAATAATATCTCAAGATATTCAGATAATAATTTAAGAATATCCTAGATATCACTGGAATAAGTTTTTGCGATTAATCTCAGATTTTCGCATACATACTTTCTAAGAATATTCCCGGTGCCATTTATATATCTAGAAGATATTCTCAGAGTTATACTTTAGTTCAAAAAACATATTCATGCTATAATATGCGACGTATAACCGGTGCTATTTTGTAAGTTATTTATACATATCATATTATCTTAAATACAGACAATTTTTTTAAACAAAAATATTACCTTTTATTTATCTATCTTAAAATCACTACACACAAAATGTAATACCATAAATTTATTATTTCTAATCGAAAAAATAATACTTCTACTAAAACAATCATAATACTTTAAATTTTCAAATTCCTATTTTTATTAATACAAAAATATATATTTTTTTCTAAAAAAAAATCTCATTACCTAACCTCACTAGCACGATCCATTACACATCCCACTCTCTTTCTTATAATTGTAAAGTGTAGTATAATTTTTAGTATAATCTCTCTCCAAAGGTAAACCCAATAAATCTGATGCAAGATACACCGCACCTGTCCCCATTTCAGTCTTCAGTCTTATCAGTGTTAACTCGTCGATAATTTGTTTCCTATTCAATTCTTCTACGAATCCGGGCATGAGCAACTCCCAACTAAGCCATACGGAACCGACGCACGTGATGTGTATACCCCCCTCTCTTCGTAAGAGCTCACAGCTAGCCTTAGCCACCACCGCGCTAAGAGATTTCGCTAGATAAGCACCAGCTTGTCTAAATAGTTCTGCTGCTAACTCATCGCCCGATTTTGCCAATTCACTGAGTTCCTTCGTCAAAGAGGCTATGAAGGCTTTGTCGAAATTCATGTAGAAATATTCTAAGATGTCGGGTTGTTTGCGGATTTTGAAGTGACACTTCACTAGGTCCCAGACTTTATCGATTGGGTAGGGCGCTTTCTCGAAGCCGTCCAAATCATCGAAGCAGTATTTTACTGCCGAATGGGCTATTTTCCATGCTAAAAAAATACCGGTTTAAAATCTAAAATCTATTAATACTACTAATATTTAAATAGAATGATCCAATTTAAAGATTTGTTTAAAACAATCTAAGGTTTATAAGGGTAGAAACATCTTCTTTATTGAAATGATGCCCTGGTGCAGCTGACAGAAGAAAGTCAGTATGTACTGACAAACAAAAATAGCCGTGAAAGCCTTCTTATGGAAGACCTACACACTACGATTTTTATGACATTATAATTGTACAGTCTATCGATTTAGTCCATAATTCAACGTGAAGTGCTCGATCTGACTCACAGCTGGCTTGTCCTCTTTTGTCTAATGCGAAGATGAAGAGTGAAGGAGCTGATTAAATCTTGCCTCTAGATCAGAACTGTGTATTTTGGCCTGTAGGCCATATCGGAGCGTGTAGGGCCTCTATTAGACAAATAAGAAGCGTTTGATAACAAGCCATGCAAATCCGTCAAAAGAGCGCTCGCATGCAGAGAAGTAGATAGATAGTCCAAGTGGATTCTACGAGAACTTCAAGATACCATCTCCATCTGTACAACCAGAGAATGTCCACTAGAAGCAGTTATATTCCCATTATAATATACGGTCTAACCGTAGACGAACCTCTATGAACCGTAGACGAACATCTATGTAGATTGACTGAACTTGGCATGCCCTTCATATTTGCTAGAGGCAAATTTAAACATATCCTGTGTGATATAGTCTAATGAGAACTAGAACATACCAGAATATGGTACCGCGAGGTGGAACTTAGTATAAACCTCAACAAAACAACATTAGTAGCTTTTTCAAGGAATCTCAAACCCATCAAATTAGACGGGAATAATGAGATAGATATAGAATGGAAAAAGAAGTCAAATATCTTGGCCTAACCCTGGACAATAAACTTTTCTGAAACATACATGAGAAGGAAGTAGTAAATAAGAGTAAAACATGGGGATGTTTCCCGAACACTCTGCGATGGATGTATAAAGCAATAGTGAGACCAATCATCACTTATGTAGTCTGGAGTAACAGAAGTAGTTTTGCTACTACGAGAGCTAATATCTATAAAGACTAGACTGTGTTTGCATCACCACGCACCGGTGCAGTCAGAACCTGTCCTACGACCGCAATGGTGATGATCTTAAACGTCACCCATCTACATTTAAAGATAGAGAATGTGGCAGAAAGGACAAGGTATACAATGATTAATAACAGAGTAATCATATGGAAGTCTATTATCTTCAGGATATGTGCCCTAGGACGAAATGAGAAAGAAGTACAGTTTTGGAAAAAACTTCAAAACCACAGAGTTGGGCTGCAAGAAATAATGAGGCCAATAATCGTATCAACACTAGATCATTCGAATGATAAATCATTCAAATATTCGATTATTACCATTATTCGAATTAACTCGATTATACCACTATCATTCGAATCATTTGAAATGTCTGAAATTGTAATATACAAACGAGAGTCACTTGGGGATCTATTTTAAAACTATGGCAGTACTCATTTCTCTCAGGATTTTTATGAAAAACATCATACGTCAATATGGAAATACTATTTTTAAAGCCAGTAAGAAGTGACTTACTCTCAGTTTTTCGGGAGAATTATTATTCTCCTAAAAATTTTAATCCTAACGGGCTTTCAAAATACTATTTCCACACTAATATATGATATTTCTCATGAAAATCTTGTGAGAAATCATTTGCCTCAAGTTTGAAAATGGGTCTCCAGGTGACTTGTTGAAATATAATAGGTACCCAACATTGCTTATTTCCCTTAAGTAGGATACACATGCAACTTTTTTGCGTCTTCTTTTGTAGGCTATCGCGTTCTAATTAGCTAGATCTTTGTCAAGTCGGGGAACTACCCAACCTCTCCAATCAGAACGCCTCGCGCCAGCGCCGTAAGCAAAACGGTTGCATGATAAATAAAAGTAAATATTGACGCATAACGTTTTAGACTTAGGTGTACTGCTTTTTGATTTTGACACATTAATCTTGACCCACCCAATAATTGATGATGGCATATAATAAATCATTCGAATGATTTGATTCGAATACTCGATAAATTCGATTCAATTTAGTGGTTTTTAAACGATAGAAGGAACTGGAATAGGAGTGTAGGGGCCTAGAAACAGGTACTTTGAATTTTAAATAAAAAATCAGGATGTAGTTTATTTTTTATTTTTAGATAGTTAAAGAATTGAATTGGGAAGTGTTAGATATTTTTTGTGTTTGTTAGCAATGAATTTGTATAAAAAGGTAAAGTTAGGAAATTCGTATAGATGTAAAGTATAATATTGAACGAAATTTAAAAGGAAATTTTATTTAAGAGGTTGAAAGATATGGAGAGCAGGGAGAACAGACGAATAGAGAACATAGAAAAGGACAAAGAAACTTAGAAACCTAAAATTTTTTCTCTGTGTTTATTCAAAATTTATTGTTCACTATGTTGTAAATTTTTAGAACGAACCAACCCTTTGAAAGCCTTGGGCAAATTTAATACAAGATTTTTATTAACTTACCACTACCTTCGTCTCCCAATAAATTACCCCATCCCCCGCATTGTACTTTCCTCCCATCAGTATCTATCAACAATGTGTTGGATCCGGTTCCCGCTATGCATACGACACCTCCTTTATTAGATGTCGCCGATATTGAACCTTCTGTGTCGCTGGCGACAACATATTTTTCTGCTAAGTTCGGATAATCTTTAATAATACCATTGACTAGTTCTTGATTCGTTTCTTCTAGTTCGCAACCGCTCAAACTTAGACCCTAAAAAAATACATAAACAGTTATTTGTTTAACTAGGCAGAGAAGTAACAGATTTTCTGCCGCAGCTATCATTACATTGCCAAGGCGAAGCCGAGGCAATCAAACTAGCCAAGGCAGTAAATCTGTTTCTCTGCCGTGTGGAATGTATAATTTTTTTCTCAGATTGTTTATACAGTGTGTTTAAAAAATGGAACTAAAATGAAAATCTCGGATATAATTCACGCATTTTTAATATTTATTCTAATCGTTGTTTTGATAACTATACACCTTCAATTCTTATACAAATATATTAATAGTAACGAGCTAGGAGGTGCCTACCATTTTAGGAGGATGCACAATGGGCCTAGTGAGGCCTAAGTGCCGTGGGGGTAACTCATCCTCCTCACGTTACAGATACAGAGATAGATCTCAATAAATTTGTATTATTGTAGTATATAAACATTTGTGTCATTATATTTGGCTAGACATTGTTAATTTTTCTATTGTATTGTATATTATTATTTTTTTATATAACGGTGTTTTCCCGTATAATAAATAAATAAATAAATAATTATGAATCTTCATAAGAAAGGTTTTTTTAATAAAGGGGAAAAAACGCTAGTATGTATCGTGTTTAAATTAATAATAATTAAATTCTCAGCAGATCAACACTTAATTTCTGTAAAGCATAATTTAAAAATGGTAAACAAATTCCAATTTTTATAATACATAAAAATATTTAATTTTTTTATTTATACAATATTTGAATAATTTTTCTAGAATAATTACATGTTTACCGAAAAATAATCTAGTACAAATTGTACCAGTAGCCTGTATGGTATTTTAATATTGGAATTCCTGTTTATAATACTAATCGGTCTGCAATTTTGTTTTAAATGCAAAGGAGGGTATACCTAATAAAACATTACACAAATTACAGCTCTGTAGGGGCAATATAACTTTTATTTTAATTTCTATTTTTTAGAATTTGGAATTTTGGAACACGGTCAGACCTGCTAGGTCATAACCATTCCCCCTTTCCAATTAATTATTTAAAAATCAGTCCAGAAATTACTAGCCTTGTCAAAACATCTCACTCGATTTGGACACTAGCTCTTATACTAAAAGGTGCTGTTTCATCAAGACAATGACAACTTCTTGTATTGCAATAGCTACCATTCATCAAGCGGAATTCCAATTGGTAGAACATTTATCTTACTCACCAGATTTACCCCCTAGCTACTAAAAATGTTTGCTAGAAATGCTGAAGCAGGTTTGGCACAAGTGCATCAGAAATAAGGGAGATATAATTGTGAAAAGATTATTATTGAAGAATGAACAAGAATTTTGAGTGTTCCTGTATAATATTTGTTTTGTTTTTAGTTGTGATGTTTATGATAAAAAAACGTCAAGTATTATAAATTAATAAAAGTCTAACGCTTGTAGCTGCTTTTATTTTTTCTCATTTATTTTTATCTACCACACAATTATATCCACCTTTTGCTAAAATTATTTTTATTGTAAATTGGTCAGGGGCGGAGCACAGTGATCAACCCTCGTAAGTCTTACGGTCTATTATATCAACATTTTCTTACCACAGCTGTTATAGGCTTGTCTAGAGGTAAACCAGCTTCTTGTTTGGCTGCATTTATCAGGTCTGCTATTCGTTTCCTACATTCCGTCATACCAGCTAAATGATGATTCGTCCCTTGTCCCCGAGATTTTCCCAAAATTTTTCCTGTCGAATCCATAATCATTGCATGGGAGTTAGTCGCGCCCCTAGAAAATTATTAATTAAAAATATAAAACAAAAAAATTTATTGTTTTTATCCTGTTTTTATTTAAAAAGACCCCCCTTTTTTATAAAATGCCCGAATAAAGGATAATTTTGATAGAATTAATCATGTGAGAAATCACTCTTATAATAATTATACCTAATAGAATTAAACTATTTCCATTAATATCAAAAATTAATATACATTTTATACGAATTCAACATAATATGGAATATATTATGTCGTAATGATAATATACCTATCAGTAATTTAGCAAGTTTTAAATAAACTGATAAATTAATGCTTAAAATCTAATAAATGATTATAACAAGTTTATCAAATCACCAAAAATAATTCAGATAAATAAAATCAAAATATTAATCGGATATAATCTAAAACTTGATTTAAATAAAGATGATAAATTATATTTTTTGGGACTATACAACGATAATACGTCCAATAATTATCATAGATAGAAATTACAGGGGATTGGCGCCATGATTATAATCTGTAGTTCCTACGATACAGAACTTCTGATGTTACTTTTGCTTTTATCCAAATGAATTTTGTTCTTTATTAGTACAGATAGATGGATAAAAATAATGGTTTTATGTAAATTAGGTACCAAATTCATTGACGTATATCACGTCAATCTTCTATATGCACGTAGGTATTGTTCTACTCTACACGAAGATATCGTTGTTGAAGACGATATACCTCGTATATGTGTTGATTAACCAATATGTACGAAGTGTCACTTCTTCAACGATGATATTCAGAGCCAAATGTAGTCAATAAAAATTGCTTTATCGGAATCAGAAAAGGAAGATTCACAACTGATAAAATAGTCGCACGAAAGAATTGCTGACTTGCTATTAAAACGATCTTCTTAGATTTTAAGGCATTCAACAGCTGTTAAAAAAAAGTTAATGCAACTGCCGAAGAACTCGAAGAAGACATCAAAGAATACCATACTTGTTTATGTACGATGCCATAGACGTATACATAAACTTACGCTGGCTGGTATGTTTCTGAAGGGTGTAATAAAAAGGTGTACAGTAAATTTAACCTTTTGTGGGGTCGATTTAAACTAACTTGCTTACATAAAAAATCTGATGTGTCCAACATATGACTATCCTATCTAGTTATTAGGGGAACTAGGGGCAAGACGGGGACGCTAAGGTTATATACTGATAAAAATAACAAACAATTGTCAAAAAATAATGTTTATTCAGAAAACGTATCTGTTAACTTTAACAACGCTTTAAACATAAAAATATTTGGTTTAAGTCACACAAAAAACTTTTAAAAAATATTTTTCAAAATCTTAAAAATATCCCATCTTGCCCCTGGTAAGGGGTAAAATGGGGTAGCCTAGGGGGTAAGATGGGAATGTATTCCTATTTACATATATCGCACGTATAACCGGTTTCAATTGGGTCATCTTCCTCTATTCCAGCACAAGAATTGTGCGACCATTTCGGACACATTTGACAGGCAATCCAACCTTCAGTGGACTGTAAATAACTTTCACCACAAAATAAACAATCTGCATCATCTTCAGCTGTTATATGAGCATTTTTGCCATTGGGTTTCTTTTTATTCACAGCAACTTTTGGTTTCTTATTTTCTTTTAAGGAAGCAGTATTTTTGAAGTATTCGACTTCTCTTTTATAGGGAGTAGAGGTGAGAATGGCCGTCTTTCCACGATGGCTGTTCTTTCTTTTAACTTTGACCTGAACACTGGGAATGGACATCACGTCTGCAGGGCCACAATTTTCAAAGCTACTATTCAAATTACGAGAAACGTGTTTTAGAGGGGACTGCAAGGTAGCAGTCTTACATGGAGAGTCACGTGGTGGTGGGGTTTTTTCAAATAATAATAATAATAATAATGCTTTATTTAGATTACAATATATATATATATATATATATATATATATATATATATATATATATATATATATATATATAAATTATAGTGAGAGAAAAAAAATATAAATAAAGCTGGTAACCGATAAGTGAATACACACTTGTTTCGGTAACAACAGTGATAAACAGGGATAAACAGTTAAAAATATATATGTATAATAAAAAAAAAAAAAAATTGTATAAAGAAAATATTAAAACTAAAATATATTTACATAAAACAACATATAGGTAATCGTAAAATGGATTAGGTTAACTACTATAATTAGATACATTTTTCATTAATTAAAATAACCGGCAATAACATTCCTATTAATTTCAAAAATAAAATTCTTTAACAATTTTTTAAATCTATGTATATTGTTTATTTGTCATGGTGCCACACGTAAGGAACTGCGAGCTGCTGCAAGCATACTCAAAGAAAGATTGTCGTCATCTGAAATTTCAGAGATTGTAGTTGGACGCACATTGTTAATGTTAGACTCAATACGAGTCCCATAGCTTGTAGATGGTAGCTCATAAAAATGGCAAGAGCTGGCAGAAGAAATCACATTCTTGTTTAAATTTGAGTGGGGTTCTGGAAGAACCTGATGACTAGTAGATGGGATTACGGTAGCATGCGACTGATACTTTATTGAAGCCCATCGCCCTGGCAGCTGAGATAGCTTCTGGTTTTCTTATAGATAAGTCTTGATGGCGTTTTAAAAATAAATCCTGGACCAAATCGACACCCGCCATTTTGGTTGTTGAATTGAATTTATGTACCTTACCATTTTTTACGGCCAGTTCATAAGCTAAACTTCTTAGTTCCAAAGTAGTAAGTCCAAATAATCTTGCTTCCATTTCTATTAAATATTTGACAAGCTTATTTTCTTCTTCACGACTGGCGGTAAATCTAATTTCATTTCACCTTTGGTCCTAATTGCTTTGACGTGCCTCTCCAAAGTGGTTTGTGGTACTCCATACTCTAGTGCAGCTTTTCGATAGCCCATTTCGCTAGTCACCACTTTTTCAACCGCTTTCTTCATGCTTTCTTTTGACCATTCTCCCCTTGTTGTTTTTCTTTTGTAACAGCGAACCATTATGCTACAAAAAGTATTCCCATAAGTTTTTTTTTAAATAAATTGTAGGGCTTGAGGGAAGAGGGTAACAGCCACACTTTCTCAGATTTTAATCTTAATATATAGTATCATCAGTACCATCTGGGGCAAGATGGGGCAACTATGCCTCATCTTGCCCCAAACAATATGTCCCGTCTTGCCCCAAATGATATTTTTTTTTAAATTATTTTTGTTTACCTTTTTACTGGAGCTTACACAAACGAATATTATTGTCAAAGGCACCTAAGGCCCGACACAATACGAGAAAAATATTGGAATTGTTCTCAAGTTTCGGGGCACTTTTCAAACACTCTTTATTTGGGCTCAAAAATAAGATCACTCACATCAAAAACCCGTTGATCAATCACAACTGCCAAACGCTCTGCATCAATCGGATTTTAGGATGCAACTGAATAATGGCGTCGGGTAGGAAGTTGAACGTGGTATATTAAAGGTAGCCCCACACACGTTAGTTTTGAGATTAGCATGGGTACCCCGTCTTACCTCATGACCCCGTCTTGCCCCTAGTTCCCCTACAAGTTTTTTCCGGTTAGTTTGTACAACCTATTGCATCACCTCTGTAAATGTTTAAAGAAATCATGTAAAAAACAAAAATTACAGATATCGATATCGCAAACAACTTTTAGTTTAACAAATTTCTTGAAAATCAAAATTTTGCACATTTTGTCAAATTTCTCGAATACGGACCATTTCAGGAAAATTTTGTATAAAGCAAAAATTACAGAGAATAATATTAGAAGTAAAGTTTGTTTTACAACTTTTAGAATTATATTTTAAACACCAGAAAATATGACAGTCATACCATAAGAAAAGTACAAATAATAATTCTTAATTTCACCTTTCTTCTAACTTTTATTTTGAAAGTCACAAGACGAACGTTATTAAATCAAATAAATAATTTGTATAAATATAAGGACACTTAAGCTCAAGGTGCGACGACGAGGATCAAAATTATTCGCTAACTTTCATTATTTTATAATTATTTAAATATGTTTTTATAATTATATTTCAAACAGCAAAAAATATGACAATCATACCATAAGAAAAGTACAAATAATAATTCTTAACTATTTCACTTTTCTCCTAACTTTTATTTTAAAAGTCATAAGACGAACGTTATTAGATCAAATAAATAATTATCAATGTGCGACGACGAGGATCAAAATTATTCCCCTAACTTTCATTATTTTCATTATTTTATAATTATTTAAATATGTTTTGAAAGAGAACAATAAAAAAGTTTGTAGAAAAATGAGTACGTCTAAGCTCACAGACCTGTGTTTTTGTTAAAATTATTAAGCATTTTTGCGGTTTCCAAGTAGATGTGTGGGTACGATCTAATGAACCAATATCTGATTTATTCGGATCGACCCTTAGTTTTAGAAAAAGTAGACCAGAAACAGAAAAAGAATAAAGAATACTTGAAAATATTCGATAGATCGAAAATAATTAAACAACTGAAAATAAAAGAATATTTAAAATTAATCAAAATATGAAAATCAAGAGAACAATAAAAAAGTTTGTAGAAACATGTGAATACCTAAGCTCACGATGCGACGACGCGGGGACAACGTCGACGAGTATCAAAATTATTCTCCTAACTTTCATAATTAATAATAATTATTAAAATATACTCTAATAACGTTTGTTTTTCAATAGTTAAATACATTTTAAAAAAATATTGCCAAAAATAATGAAAAAGTTAGTAAAACAAAAACAGAAAAAGTACCTTTATGTCATAAAAATACTCGTACCCTTATAAGATCTCATATAAAACTATGCTCGATAGCTTTAAGATTAACTCTCTTTTACAAAAAAAACAACAGGCTGTACTCTATTTTAAATAATATTAATTACAAAGATTGTGATTTGATTGACTATATAAATTTTAATGTGGCAAAGATTAATCTAAGAATCCGAAGTAACAAAAAAATATTTAGTTTAGATCCAAGTA